AGGGAATTAAGTGTATGTTATTGCGGTCTGAGTTGAAAGAGGGGGCTTTGACTTTGCCGAATACCAGTCTTTATGTTGCCAAAGCATTTATCTAGGATCCTTTTATTTCGGGTGTTGTATCGTACATATTGATCAAATTGTGGCAACACAGTCTCTGTCTTACAGTGGTTAAAATTGCCTCAAAAGAAAACAGGTGCTCCGGGTGTGCGCTGCAGCAGTAACTTTATCTGCGTTGCCCCTGAGGGGGGGACATAAACAGCAGCTATGACGATATTGCCAAACTCCATTGGCAAGTAGTGGGGTCTCAGAGATACACAGAACAGTTCAATGTCTGAGTTACATATAATGTCTCTCACTGTATAGTGTTTGCACCATGTGTTACTCACATAGACGCACATGCCCCCTCCGTTCCTCTTGCCAGTCGCATAGGGGGAGCGTTCGGCTCCCACAAGCAAGTCAATATCCAGGATGTCTGGGACTTGTTGTTGACGATAGGTCTCGGAAAAGACCATGGCTGCGTTTCATTAGTAGTTCCACTTCCCCTCATTCACTTACCCTCAGTCCTTGGTATGACGTAACAGCATACGTCGCACGGAGGCCACTTGGAGCGCGGAGGGAAAGTGGGCGGGGGAGGAGCGGGGGATTTAAATGAAACGCACTTGCCCTTGGAGTCTACTCATTGGCAGCCGTCGGCGTTATAGCGGCAATGACGTAAACTGCAATGCATTGTGGGTGATATCCACCTCGGAGTGACCATCCTTGTTCACTCGCTCCCTCAGCCCTCCGAGGGTCCATCTCACCAAGTTCACTTCAGTTTTTCAGACAATTGGAACGACACTTATGATGGCGGCGGGGATTCCCCCGAGGGCAAGTGCCGAGGGCAGTTGAACGACTAATGAAACGCAGCCCATGAGATTTGATTCCCCATACACTCAAAGCAGCTGCTTTGATTGATGCAGAGTTCATCCATCTTGGGCATCAGCGACCGCACATCGCTCAGAATTACTGATGGTAGTAGTGGTTTACTGGTTAATCAGCGAAAAGTGTCTTCTTTCCTTTAGGTGAGCTGTTTGTTCAGTCACTTTTATTTTGAGATGTTAATCATTTACAGTTTGGACTTCATTTAGAAACAAAGCAGAAAGACCAGTGTAGATAGAGTTACTTTTTCCAACTGTTCATGTCGTGACTGCAAAGTGAAATGTTTTATATAGAAATTGTTAACAGGACAGCATACCTGCCAACTTTTCCAAAAACCTTGGAGTGAGATTTTGTTGGGGGTGACCAAAATTATGCCGCACACGCATTATTCTGATTCATGTTCAGCATCATGACTTGTAGGGCCTTCTAGACTTGAGCTGAACATTCAACCAGAAAACTATTGTTGTGCCTAAATGACTGCCTGTATCACAATAAAGCCTTATTCATAGACCAGTGTTTAAGAATTGACCTAGGTACCTGTACGTTGATTGATATTTTAATTAGAATGGTATTAAACTGTGGGTAAATAAACAATGCAATGAGCTGATATTGTGAGCATGCAGTATACCACGAGGTTAACAAGGTGCTCTCCTGCTGCTTGTTATGACAGCTTTCACCACACTAAATCATGTTCACACGCACAAACAAATCATTTATTTCAAGATTTAAAGTTTAAGAGAGTGAGTACTCAATTGGACGACATTTCATTGTCACATACCTAGTCTCAGCTCAGATCAAGGACAAAATTTTGATTTCAGAGGTGGGGGGGACTCAAGTATTTATTTTTTCTTTAAGTTATTTTTTTGGCGGCTTTATTTATGGAGACAGCTGTGGGGAGACAATGATGGTTGGTGGAGAGAGGGGGGATGACACGCGGCAAAAGGCAGCAGCTCGGATTTGAAGCCGCGCCGCTGCAGCAGCTCCGTAGCCTATATGGTTCGCCAGCTCTACCGACTGAGCTAACCGGCGGGCGCCACCTACACACAATAGTAGTTCTTTTAGTTTTCAATTGCTACTTTTACGTTTACTGTTCAATTTTTTGGTTTGACTGGTTGTAAAGAATGTAAATGTAAATATAGAAAAAACATTCTGGACACACACACGCACATGAACACCGATTCAAACGTGAATGTAAATGAAACCTCTGATATTACCTGGGCAACACCAGCAGACCGGTGTGCAAGCAAGATGGAGTGACAGCGGGGACGGCCAATCACACAAGAAACGGCCCAGACCCATAATCAATTAATTATTGAGGATTCTAAATTTTGATGGGGAGCTTCTATTTTAACCAGCACAGCTTTTTTAGTCTTTACGGTATTTGTTTAGCAGATCAGGAAGCTCACAGACCAATCGCATGCTAGTTAAGCCATCCCACGTGATGCTGCTCAGCCAATCAAATCTGTTTAAACAGCGCGACTGAATACAGAGATGAGAGCGATGAGAGAGGAGAGACAGACGGAAAGAGAAGTCACAGATACATTGAGAGGAAACAGATGAGTGAGCGCGAGACAACAGAAGATTTATGGTGCTCTCTAAGAAGAGAAAAGTGGATAGAAAATTTAGCTTTTAATGGACAGATTCATTCACATTCATTCTTCCCACTGGGAGCACATAACCAGTGTGTCTCATATGTTCAGAGACCGTGGCGCTGATTAAAAGTGCCAGGGTGAAACGCCACTATGAGACAAAACACAAAGTTTTCATCAAACATACCCACTCAAGTCTGAACAAGGTCACAGAAAATAAGCAGTCTCAGATCCCAATATGATCACTCAACCAGTATCCTGACCAGTGTTGGGAGTAACAGCGTTTAAGTATAACGGCGTCACTAACGCAATCAATTGAGTTCAAATAAATACCAAATGTTCTAAAATACTGTATATAGTGTTTTATTCTTTATTCAGTGATTATAAACATCTTTAACGTTATAGAAGATGTTATAGAATGTAATTATAGACCATAAAAAATAACGTTTTACTTACTTTGCTGAGTAACTAATTACTTTTACAATGTGGTAACTGAGTTACTCACTCAGTTACTTTTTGGGATAAGTAATTTGCAACTATAACTAATTACTAATTACTTACAACACTGATCCTGACCCATTCATTCACTGCCCAACGAGGGAGAGAGGTTAGAGCTCAATTCTCTCACTGAACAACAGAAAGTGTGTAGAAAGATATAAAAGGGAAAGAAAGAGAAACTGTTCAATTGTAAAGATGTGTTGATATTCATTTATAAAATTTGTTGAGACTGTTAATCAAGATATGAAACAGTTAACAAAGAAAAAGGGAAACTCAAGCTGCTGCTACACTTTATTTTTAAGTTAAACACTTAATTTTATTTTTTAGACTTAGCAGAGGATGTGGAAGCAGGAGCTGCTGACCCAGACCATGTAGCGAGTAAAGCAGAGGAACTTACTGAAGTTCTTGGAGTTATTTCTGCACTTTCTGACCAAGATATTGACCACAGAGTGACTGCAGATTTAGAAGAAGTAGTCCAATAGCGCCACCCAGTGTATTGGAATGTGTTCACTAGCTCTGCATCGATCCATTATCTAGAATTGATTTGTCTTGGCTTGATGGGCAGGGTAACCAATCAGGCGTTAGGTTCCGCCTACCAACTTTTGGTGTGTTTGACAGTTTTAAGTAATTCATGAAGCACTGCCAGGCAGGACCATGAAATGTAAATGTAAATAGTGAAATAATTATATATGTATTTTACATAAAATTAATCGGTATTTGAATTAATGAATGACATATTTAATTACACATTTATGTATTTAATTCCAATTTTAATTAATGAATGACACATTTAATTAATTATTTAATGGTGTATTTATTTATTTAATTGTGGCACTTTCAGTCCTCCATACAAAACGGCCCAAGATCGGATTTTTTTGGCGTTAGAAATTGGATGTGTTGCGTGAGTGCGTGTGAAAACAGGCAAAACCGTGTGTCACACAGCGAAAGCGTGAGAGTGGGCAGCTCTGAGGACAGGGAAAAGACCAGCATGCAACAACTGCTGATTTGTTTATCATGAACTTTCTCTTCATGCTGATTTTTTCCACATTTTGTTCATCATGAGTCTGATTTTGCAGGTGCTTTGGCTGATTGTCCTCAGATGTCAAAGCTCTTCATTACTGCACCAAAGAATATGGAAGCACTGAGTGGAACTTGTTTGCAAATCTCATGTAACTTTAGTGCTGAACCAGAACAAGAGTTTAACAGCAGCAGAGAAACCTTTGGAGTGTGGATTAAAACTGACTCCAGATTTGGCCTCAATCCAAACAATGTGATTTTCAACAGTAGTAAGACAGTTAACACGTATCCAATGAATATTACTGGAAACCTGAGTCAGAAAAACTGCACCACTCTGTTTTCCAGTTTAATCACAAATTATACAGACACATACTACTTCAGAATCATGAACTGGCCTTTCAGAGCAACAGCTGTTTGTGATCCTCTTCAAATAACAGTTAAAGGTAAGAGAGCTTTGTTTCTTTCGTCAGTCTATAATGTTATTGTTTAAAATAAACAATAACCCCAGAGCCCCACAATTGAGATCCCAGGTGATCTGAAGGAGAAGCAGTCTGTCACTATAACCTGCTCAGCTTTCACTCCCTGTCCACACTCCCCTCCTAAACTCACCTGGAATCTCCAACAAGACTCTCACAACCAAATAGAGGAAAACACAGATGGAACCTTCACAACTAAAATCCAGGAGAACATCACTCTGTCAGACCAACATGATGGATACAACATCACCTGTTCTGTCAGATATCCTGTGAATGAAGGAAAAGATAACAAGACAGCAGAGGAGAGAAAGACTCTCAGTGTTTCATGTAAGACAACCAGAGTTTGTTATTGGATCCTGTCAGCACATGATGATTCATGGGATGTCAGCTGATTTTTAATGAATAAAGTTAATCTCACATTTTCCTCAGATGCTCCTAAAAACACCTCAGTGTCCGTCAGTCCATCAGGTTTGGTGTCAGCAGGTAGCTGGGTGAACCTGACCTGCTCCAGCAGAGCCAAGCCTCCCGTCAGCCGCTTCACCTGGTTCAAGAACAGCAAAGATGGACCCATGAATGTATCTGAAGGACCGTTTTACAGCTTCAATGTGACAGATGGAGGAGTTTATTACTGTGTGGCAATGAATGATTTTGGTGCTCAGGCATCATCATGGATTCATTTGAACAGTGCAGGTAAATGTAGAACCTGAATCAGATTTTTTCCTGCTGTGTAGCTTCATTTCTTTGTTTGATGAACACACATTATGAAGTGGTAGGTGAAAAGCTTTAATTGTTGAATAAAGTGTGTTCTGATAATGAAATTCAGCTTTGTGAGATTCATTGAAAGATGCTCTGAAAGCTTTTCAACTGACTCAGTTTGACTCTAAATGCTTCACGTTAGACATTTTATTTTGCTTTATAAAGAATAGGGTGATTTGTGATGTAAAGTTCAGGATGTCTTAGAGCTGTAATGTTTTCCATTAAGGAGAAGGTGACCATGCTGTCTTGTTACAGTTAATCCAGAGTTTGAGGTTTTTGTCTATGTGAAGATCCTGGGAATCGTAATGCTCTAAAGTACAATCATCATCTTTGAGTGGTGAGAATAACTTTTCTATAATATGATCATTTGCAGATAAAGACTTATTGGTCTCTTTGAAATGTTTGAAGTTTTCATGTTTATTCATTCATCTCGTTTTCTTTCAGGTGGCTTAGATCAAGATGCTGCAACAAACCAGTGAAGGTAAGCTACTAGATGAGGACAGGTACATTATTCTTTCAACAAGAAATTATCTTTGAAGAAAACAGAGAAAAAGCTCCAGTTATAAAAGAGTAAAGGTTTCTTTGTAGGCGTCTTTGCAGATTAATGTTCAACAGTCATACAGAAGAAATCCTTCAGAGACAATGATGTTTAGATATCCATGTCTCCATAAACAGCAGTGATTGTAGACCAGAATGCAATGGGCCAAATTTCATTAAGGAGAGTTAATCTCACTTTATATTAGGCTTCGATTTACCAAAACAAGCTCAAGGAGCTGCTGGCATTTCTCTTCCAGCTGCATTAAACTCACTGCAGAGCACTAACACCACTCTCTCTCTGTGTTGTTTCATTTCCACAGGACGCAGTAGAAGCAGACGATGTCAACAGAGTGACTGAGATTGAAGCTTCATGAAGGAGAAGAGCAAGAGGTCATGTTCACCATTAATGTAATATATTTCTTCCTCTAATTCGTAAATATTCAACATATTCAACACAACAAATCATATTAATGATCAAATGTTCTGTATGTAAAATCTATCTGCAAAGTAACTAGTAACTATAGCCAGGGCCGTAGCTACCACAGAGGATACAGAGGTCATGTCCTCATTATTTCTGGGTCAAAATGTGGTGGTTGGAGTCCCCTGAAGTGCAGTTTACCTTCGAGAACTGACACTTACACATTATGACTTCAAAGGTCTTTTTGAGGGTTCAAAGTTTTCAGGAGGTTTTCACTCTGCTCACAAAGAACAACACTGTCTTTTTATAATCTATATGACAGCTATTAGTTAATTGTTACTTTACAGATGAGATATGGTAGCTTTTGTTTGATTTTGTATTCATTTCTGTCTCTAACTCTGACTGTAATTGTACAAATTTAAATGAGAAATTATTAACTGTTGGTAATAGTTGGAAGATTGTTAATGTAGATCAAACAGTGCTGTATTAAGAACTTTCTCTGTGCTGCAGTAAATGACTTTAATAAAATATGACCTTCTGGCACTGAGTCTCTGTCTGAGCTTTGATTAGCAGTGAGTGTACAGTTGAATGTCTTTTTCTACTTTAAGTCATGAGTGGTCCATACTCCACCAGCTGGTAGTGCAGACACCTTGGACAGCTCCTATTCACAACTCCTCAGACCTAAATTCATCACTGGTCACCAACACCACAAACAAGGAAGTGTTATGTCACGTGAACAGTGATGCTCCCAGACTGCTCTTTTTTAAACTTTTGTTCCTAACACAGTGTCTGTGTGGGGAAATTACACCTGTAAACAATAAGACTGTCTCCTATGGAGCTGACAGTGACATTAAATCTTGGTATGTGTGGTGGCAATTTCTTAATAAAGCATACAAAGTATGATCTTGTCTTTCAGTAAATTTTTATTTAAGTCATCCATTAATGGTCTCAATGCAACCGTCACACACTCTCTTATGTGAAAGTCCGAAAGAGCCCCGACTGGAAGAAGCAGTATAGTTTTATCCCTGTTGGAGCGTCACTCTAACACAGTTACACATTCCTGAGTTCTGGGACAGTAAACAGATAGATAGTGTGGTGAGATGATCATGTCCTTGGCTTCTTAGTGAAGTCTCAACATCCCGCTGTTTACTTGGACATAGAGTGTAGTTAGAAACAGGGTTAAAGGTTATATGCATATAATAGCTTCTTTAACAGTTGCGTATGGTTTTACAATGACCAGGTCAACGGGTTGTATAGGTTCTTAAAAATTACCATTACACATTAAATTACACAAACTGCTGTTTGGTGCTGAGCAGGGAGTGAACAGTGGATTTTAGAGCTTTTTACTTTAAACAGCTGCCTGCTGCATCTGAAAATGAGGCTGATGAAAGCTGTGAGAGTGAACCAAAACAGCGAAGTTGGGGCTGTAAATTCAACAGTATATGTTAAAAGACACTAACAAGACTAACAGTCACAGCCAGGATGGGAAAAGGGAGGGTGAAGCGAGTGAGTTGCAATCTGCAACTACAATGCTAGATGCCACTAAATCTTCCACACTGAACCTTTAATTCCTGAATACAGTTCAGCTGCAATGTATTAAATCAAGTGCTGACAGTGGCACACAGTACAGACATTACACAGTCAACAGTGTGGTACAAGTCCTTCAAGAGAATATCACATTTATTTAAAAACACATCAAATGTACCCTGTGGTATCAAGTTGACTTGTCATCATGTAGTTTCTGAAATTACTCAATGATGTTTCAATGCTGAACATGTTTCTGTTAATGTGATGAAATACGTGTTGAAAGCATAAGGTTTGTCAGTGTGTGGTTGATGAGTTAAAGTGGGTAAAAGAGAAGTGGTGGAAGATGTGCTGAAAAGGAAGGACGTTGGTCATTTTTAGTGTCAGAAAATGCATAAATTAAAGTATTACTGTAGTTCTATGTATCCTAAAAATCAAAATTTCAAAAGAGATGACTTAGACATGTAATGTTTCTACTCACCTTTAATTACCACTAAAACAGTGTAACATATCTGTGAGTCTGTATATGAAATATAATTATTTTCTGTGTGTGGCTGATAAACCAGAATGAGAGGACCAGAGAGAAGTGATGGGAAGTAAACTGATGAAGTTGTGAACAGATCGCTGATGAAAAGCAGTGAAATATAAGTAAACAGGGGAAGTTGTTTTGCTGTTTCTGTACTTGTGGCAGCAGGTCTATAGCAGGGTAGTCCAGACGTCCCTCTTCCCAATAACATTTTCAAAGTCCTCGTCCATGAGGCGTTCTCCTCCTTTGTAATGACAAAAGGGTTCCACAAGAACTAAACTACTCGTAATAAACCACCTGCTGTATATTACATGTCCACATTTTATATCTACTGTTCAACTAAATCTTAACGACATTTGTACAGTACCTGACGTTTATATTTTTAAATTTCTTAATATGTTACTATTGTGATTAATGTAATATGTAATAAAAGAAAATCAATCATACAGGCTCTCAGTGAGTCATGTGATAAAAACAATATTTAAAAATAAATCATGAATAAGTCTTTTTCGCCCTAATGAGGTTAAGATGCAACAAAAGCTGACTTCCTCACTCACAGGGTGCGAACAGGAAGAGCAAAGACTTCTTGTATTGCTGCAGTATTTTAGTTGTGTGATATCTAGTTTGAAACAAGAAGTCTCTTAGCTTTTATGTTACAGCGGCTTAGCAGGGAAGTCTGTTACTGGGTCTGTTGCAGTTCTGCTGAAATTCACAGATTGTCTGATTTTAAAACTAATTGTTTCTCCGGTTTATCTGCAGGCTCGTTTGGTAAGGTCAAATGTTACTGCTTTTCATGTTTGAACTTTTTAACCCAGAGAGTTTTTATTTTGTTGCTTTTCATGAACTCCACTGAAAAAGACATGATATATTTTATTTGTTGGGTTTTGTTTTAGCAGAAATGATCCTCAAAGAAATGAGAAGTTACTTCAGTAACATTTTATTTGAATCATAAACTCAGACTGGATCATTCTGATTTTATATTGAAACTGTTTTCAGAGCAACTCTGCAGATATTATTCATCACAACTTATAACACAGTAACATCTGGTTGGACATGGCAAGTTCCTGGTTTGAATGTGTGAATCTGAGGTTGCTTTAAAACAACATGAAGGATTTGTTTAAAAGATGCTTTGATTCAAATATTGAAGAGTAACTTTTTTTCAGATCCAGGTGATGAGTGTGATTGCAGTCCTGTCTGTGAATATGGTGACAGCCAACATGTTACTGAGTGTCTTCTTTCTTTCAGGTGAGCTGTTTGTTCAGTCACTTTTATTTGGAGACGTTAATCATTTACAGTTTGGACTTCATTTAGAAACAAAGCAGAAAGACCAGTGCAGATAGAGTTACTTTTTCCAACTGTTCATGTCCTGACTGCAAAGTGAAATGTTTTATATAGAAATTGTTAACAGGACAGGGAAAAAGACCAGCATGCAACACACTGCTGATTTGTTTATCATGAACTTTCTCTTCGTGCTGATTTTTTCCACATTTTGTTCATCATGAGTCTGATTTTACAGGTGCTTTGGCTGATTGCCCTCAGAGGTCAAAGCTCTTCATTACTGCACCACAGAAGATGGAAGCACTGAATGGATCTTGTTTGCAAATCCCATGTAACTTTAGTTCTGAACCAGAACAAGAGTTTAACAGCAGCAGAGAAACCTTTGGAGTGTGGATTAAAACTGACTACAGATTTGGCCTCTATCCAAACAATGAGATTTTCAACAGTAGTAAGACAGTTAACACGTATCCAATGAATATTACTGGAAACCTGAGTCAGAAAAACTGCACCACTCTGTTTTCCAGTTTAATCACAAGTTATACAGACACATACTACTTCAGAATCATGAACTGGCCTTTCAGAGCAACAGCTGAATGTAATCCTCTTCAAATAACAGTTAAAGGTAAGAGAGTTTTGTTTCTTTCAGTCGGTCTATAATGTTATTGTTTAGAATAAAAAGTGAAATCAGTTACAGTTTTGGTCTAAACAGCACACTTTAGAATTTTTTTTACGGTAATTAAAATTCTGCTTGAACAATGCTGTTACAGTTGGAGTTCAATGATTTTTTGGTACAATGAAAAGCAGAACAAAGTTTTATAAACACTTTATGTGGTTTCAATGCGAAACTGTCAGCATCAGAAACGGGTATTAAAAGCGATTTTTTTTCATGGACAAAAAGGAATGAACGAACAAATTTGTATAAATATTTAGATTTTTGCTTTCTCGTTCAAATAACAAAAATTTAAATCACTAGCTTTGTTTCTTTCAGTCTATAATGTTATTGTTTAAAATAAAAAGTGAAATCAGTTACAGTTTTGGCCTAGCACACACTAGCCTATCTTATTTGGAGGTTTTTCACTTTACCACGGATTTAAATTCTGATTAAACACTGAGTCTATTGTTACAGTTTGACATTAAAATGGTAAAATTCTGAGACAATGAAAAGCAGGACAAACTGTTATTTATACTTATAATGTAAAATGTGTTTGATTTAAACCTTTAGATTCTCCTCCGAGCCCCAGAATTGAGATCTCAGGTGATCTGAAGGAGAAGCAGTCTGTCACTATAACCTGCTCAGCTTTCACTCCCTGTCCACACTCCCCTCCTAAACTCACCTGGAATCTCCAACAAGACTCTCACAACCAAATAGAGGAAAACACAGATGGAACCTTCACAACTAAAATCCAGGAGAGCATCACTCTGTCAGACCAACATGATGGATACAACATCACCTGTTCTGTCAGATATCCTGTGAATGAAGGAAAAGATAACAAGACAGCAGAGGAGAGAAAGACTCTCAGTGTTTCATGTAAGACAACCAGAGTTTGTTATTGGATCCTGTCAACACATGATGATTCATGGGATATCAGCTGATTTTTAATGAATAAAGTTAATCTCACATTTTCCTCAGATGCTCCTAAAGACACCTCAGTGTCCGTCAGTCCATCAGGTTTGGTGTCAGCAGGTAGCTGGGTGAACCTGACCTGCTCCAGCAGAGCCAAGCCTCCCGTCAGCCGCTTCACCTGGTTCAAGAACAGCAAAGATGGACCCATGAATGTATCTGAAGGACCGTTTTACAGCTTCAATGTGACAGATGGAAGAGTTTATTACTGTGTGGCCACAAATGATCTCGGCAATGAAACATCATCAATTTGTCTTAATATTAAAGGTAAATACTGAACTGGACTGTGTCCCCTTACTTTGATCTTTGAAAAGTTTCTGCATTACCCTTTAGTTACATGTCTTCTTTTAGTAGTTTCTCATATTTAGTTTGTTTGTATGAACAGAACCACCCAATGGATCTCTACAGTGGGTGCCAGTTCTTGGAGGAATTATTGGGATCATCATGCTCGTCTGCCTGGTTGTCTGTGTTTGGTAAGTATCACAAATTAAAAGCAGCTAATGTGACTCAGTTACTTGTATATTTCAGCTACACTCACATTCTTGTTAAAGGCACAGATGATTACATGATTTTTACTTCTCTGTACCAACTTCTCAGTCGTCTACATCTTTCTATATTCAGTTTATGTACTTATCCAGATTTCTCTTTAATTGTTTGTTTTACAGCATTCTTGTGCGTTGGAGGCGGGTGAAGTCTACAGATTCAACTCAGCAACAGAATCAGGTGGGAAAATACTAAACTCCTCTGTACAGCACTGCACTATAAATGTGTTGCACCTGCTTACAGTGACTGTGTAGATATATGAAAGCATAAAGGACTGAACATTAAATGGACAATCTATGAGATATTCTTTATAAGTAAAAATATGAAGAAACAGGAAGTGTGACAAAATATCCTGTTGGCAGATGAAAGTCCACATCCAGATACTAACAACATTTCATGTTTGTGCAGAGTCCAACAGGTGAAGAGCTGACTGTTGCAGAGTCAGCAAGAAAAACAGATGAGAAGGAAGAAGACATCCATTATGGAGAGATCGACTTCTCCAAGAGGAGACCTGAACCGTCCTCTGACTCAGTGCAGGACAGTGGACAGCAGCAGGAAACACTGTATGCACAGGTCAAAGTGACAAAGCCAGCAAACAGCTTAACTCACACTGCTGACAGTCCAGAGGATATCTACGCTCAAGTGATAATAAAATGAGTTGTTTTGTTTTGAAATAGACACCAGTACCATTTCTACACACACACACACACACACACACACACTACCAGTAGTTTTTAGTTTAAAATGTTTTTTTAACTGTTGAGGCAATGTCAAAATGAATCTCAGTATTCAGTATTGTTTTTTTCACAAATTTGTTTGTATTTTGTACTGAAAAAAACATTGTTCCTGGATTTAAACATGAGTAATTGTACTGTAATTAAAAAGTATCAACCTTATAAAAATGCTAACAATCATATTTCAACTTGAACAATAGTGTATCCACAATATATTAGCACGTAAAAAATAATGAGAGAGGAATCTTTTTTGTGTGGGCTCAAATTCAAGAAGCACTTCTGTGATTGACACATTAATTCTGCCCCCTGCAGACAGTAACACTGTGGTACAAGTGAGCTATCCTCAATTTATGCCAATCAAGCCAGTGTGTCATCTCATTATTGTGACTATAAATGTGTAATTTCTTAATTAAAAATATATTTTTTTAATGCAGACCTAACCAGTAATTTGATTAGGTTATACCTCCTTCTTTTCTTGTGTGTATACGTTTTACACCATTTAAATATTCTTCTCTCACCTTCATGGATTTATTTTATTTTAATTAGATTTCATGTTCGATATGACAATTGTTGATAACTGGTTACACAAAATATGAGCACCAGGCTGCACTGTTGGCCACTGTTCCAATTCTCAAAGCATTATGTGCAAACACTTTATTTGTTCTAAAAAGCTGCCCACAATCCCTCACTTAAAATATTTAATTCAAAAAGTTATTATTATAAGACAAATGTCTTCGTAGAACAGTTTCATGACCCTTTCTGGCCACAGCGCTTCAGGTTTTTTCCAGTTTCAAGCTTGTATTACATCTTTCTACACTGTGCAGTGAAATGCGGAAATATGTTTGGTCGTGTGTCCCTGTGTGTATCTTCCTGCAGCTAATCTCGCATACTACTGGACAAATCAGTCTTACATTTTTTGTGTGAAAATGTATGATTGTATGCTCATGTTCCCCTTGATGTTGCGATGATTCCCCAAGTTTTTGAAAACCTATTTGTTTACAGCTCTGTTTTATACCAGCATTGACTGCAGTTACCTCGCTCTTGTAAAAGGACCATTGTGTAGGATTTCATGGCATTTAGTGGTGTAGTTGCTGATTTTAATGCATTCGCCTAACCCTCCTGATACAAATGGTTGAGCGGGGAAACTACAGTGGCTGTGAAACTCGCAAAAAACATTAAAAAATGCGGAAGGCCCCATCTAGAGCCAGTGTTTGTTTTGTCCTTTCTGGGCTACTGTAGAAACATGCTCATTCAAAATGGACCTGCACCCTGTTCCCTCTGAATATAAAAACAGCTCATTCTAAGGTTACACAAACACAGCAATTCTTATTTTCAGGTGATTAAACACTAATGAAAACATACCTATGAATATTATGTTACATTTCTGCAAATCGATTCTCTTAAAAGTTACACACTGGACCTTTAAGCTCCACTCCCCAGCATGCACTGCCACTTGCTCAGCAGTCAAATCCAGTTGGGAAAGATTAGCTCACACACAGTCTCTGGCAGTGGCAACAGTTCAGATCAGGTGAAACCCGTTAGTTTTTAATTAGCTGTCATAGCCTCTGAAGACAGCTACAGCCAGTTTACTACAGTATTTTTTCATTGTTTCCCATGAAGGAAATTAGCAGTTTATCACTTATTCTATCATTTGTGTCAGTATATACAGTGGCTCATTATGTCATTTAATGATGACGGTGTAAAATACAAATAAAGGCGCTGGAAGTGAGAACAGTTTTTATTTAAAATATAATCATTTTCATTTATTTTCATCGCTGATCTCTCATCAGTGCAGCAATGCAGAACAGCAAAGATAAAGGTCAGTGTGATCACAGTGACTGCACACAAGTCAGCAACAACACATAAAGTTAATGTTTTAGTTCAGGCAGTCAACTTGAACTGCACTGATATACACACATGACATGCCTCACTCCATAATCACTAACCAAGCACTCCCTTCCAATCTGGCGGTCTATTTAAACTGCACAATTTCCCAGCTCTCCCTCTGTTCTGTCAATATCGCTTTTGCTCTGCATCCCTATTGCTGCCTGCTGCGCTGTTAGCCCCACCACCACCCCAGCATCCACCTGTAGGCTCCGGCTAGGGCTTTAAGGTATTTGCTCATCACTCTCCAATATCTCTATGAAAACATATCTGCGGGAAGTGATGAGGTCGGAGCCTATACACCAAAATCTAAATATGCTATACTGCTGTAATAAACATTTCAAACGTGAGTTGGCTGACTGAAATATAATTATAATCATTGTGATTTATGTAACATATAAGGATTATACAGCTTATAGATTTGCAGGAAGTAATGTGAATATTAGCAGTAAAGGAGAGAACTTCCTGTATTTGTCCAATATAAAAACAACTGGACTGTGTGGTTTTTAAGCGTACAGGAGGAAGTCGACTTGATATTAAATCACAATGAAACAGGGAAGTTGGTTTGTTGAACTGGATTGTTGCCCTTCAGCTCAAATTCATAAATTGGAACCATTTTCACTTTAAAACCACCAACGAAAGGATCTGATTGTTGCTTGATGTGGGCTTCTTTGGTAAAACAGAATTACTTACTCATTTTATTCCTTATTTAACCCAGAGAGTTGTATTCATTCCCACTGTGCAGACTTTGGTTGTCACTTACAACACAGTAAATTGTGGTTATACAGAGCATATTGAATACTTTGTAACTGCACTGTTGTGTTTGTTAATCCAGGTGATGAGTGTGATTGCCGTCCTGTCTGTGAATATGGTGACAGCCAACATGTTACTGAGTGTCTTCTTTCTTTCAGGTGAGCTGATGTTCAGTCATTTATTGTTCATCTTTTACAAAGCACAATGTTCTTTACCCTAAATGAATGTGAGCTGAGTTGTCACTGTTACAATACTGGAAATCTTTTGGTGGGTATAAAGGGATCGGCCCCCGCTGGGGTCGGGTTCATTAAAGAGGATTAAGGGGAGGTTGTTATCTGCTTGTTGTAAACCAATAATAATGAATCACTGAAAAACAGTAGTTTTCAGCCTTTTCTCCATTTTGCCACATTTTGTTCATTATAAGTCTGATTTTACAGGTGCTTTGGCTGCTTGCCCTCAAGACACAAACCTCTTCATTACTACTCCACAGAATATGGAAGCACTGAGTGGATCTTGTTTGCAAATCCCATGTAACTTTAGTCCTAAATCAGAACAAGAGTTTGACTGCAGCAAAGAAACCGTTGGAGTTTGGATTAAAAATGACCATACTATATATCCAGGAAATGTGATTTTCAAGAGTGACATGATAGAAAATAAGTATCCAATGAATATTACTGGACACCTGAGTCAGAAAAACTGCACCACTCTGTTTTCCAGTTTAATCACAAGTTATACAGACACATACTACTTCAGAATCATGAACTGGCCTTTCAGAGCAACAGCTGATTGTGATCCTCTTCAAATAACAGTTAAAGGTAAGAGAGCTTTGTTTCTTTCAGTCAGTCTATAATGTTATTGTTTAGAATAAAAAGTGAAATCAGTTACAGTTTTCGTCTAAACAGCAGACTTTATCAATTTGGAGGTTTTTCACTTTACCATGAATTTAAATTAAACACTGAGTCTATTGTTACAGTTTGACATTAAAATGGTCAACTGTGGGACACTGAAAAGCAGAACAAACTGTTATTTATACTTATACTGTAAAATGTGTTTGATTTAAACCTTTAGATTCTCCTCCGAGCCCAAGAATTGAGATCCCAGGTGATCTGAAGGAGAAGCAGTCTGCCACTATAACCTGCTCAGCTTTCACTCCCTGTCCACACTCCCCTCCTAAACTCACCTGGAATCTCCAACAAGACTCTCAAAACCAAATAGAGGAAAACACAGATGGAACCTTCACAACTAAAATCCAGGAGAGCTTCACTCTGTCAGACCAACATGATGGATACAACATCACCTGTTCTGTCAGATATCCTGTGAATGAAGGAAAAGATAACAAGACAGCAGAGGAGAGAAAGACTCTCAGTGTTTCATGTAAGACAACCAGAGTTTGTTATTGGATCCTGTCAGCATATGATGATTCGTGGGATATCAGCTGATTTTTAATGAATAAAGTTAATTTCACATTTTCCTCAGATGCTCCTAAAGACACCTCAGTGTCCATCAGTCCATCAGGTTTGGTGTCAGCAGGTAGCTGGGTGAACCTGACCTGCTCCAGCAGAGCCAAGCCTCCCGTCAGCCGCTTCACCTGGTTCAAGAACAGCAAAGATGGACCCATGATTGTATCTGAAGGACCGTTTTACAGCTTCAATGTGACAGATGGAGGAGTTTATTACTGTGTGGCTACAAATGATATCGGCAATGAAACATCATCAATTTGTCTTAATATTAAAGGTAAATACTGAACTGGACTGTGTCCCCTTACTTTGATCTTTGAAAAGTTTCTGCATTACCCTTTAGTTACATGTCTTCTTTTAGTAGTTTCTCATATTTAGTTTGTTTGTATGAACAGAACCACCCAATGGATCTCTACAGTGGGTGCCAGTTCTTGGAGGAATTATTGGGATCATCATGCTCGTCTGCCTGGTTGTCTGTGTTTGGTAAGTATCACAAATTAAAAGCAGCTAATGTGACTCAGTTACTTGTATATTTCAGCTACGCTCACATTCTTGTTAAAGGCACAGATGATTACATGATTTTTACTTCTCTGTACCAACTTCTCAGTCGTCTACATCTTTCTACATTCAGTTTATGTACTTATCTAGATTTCTCTTTAATGGTTTGTTTTACAGCATTCTTGTGCATTGGAGGCGGGTGAAGTCCACAGATTCAACTCAGCAACTGAATCAGGTGAGAAAATACTAAACTCCTCTGTACAGCACTGCACCATAAATGTGTTGCACCTGCTTACAGTGACTGTGTAGATATATGAAAGCATAAAGGACTGAACATTAAATGGACAATCTATGAGATATTCTTTATAAGTAAAAATATGAAGAAACAGGAAGTGTGACAAAATATCCTGTTGGCAGATGAAAGTCCACATCCAGATACTAACAACATTTCATGTTTGTGCAGAGTCCAACAGGTGAAGAGCTGACTGTTGCAGAGTCAGCAAGAAAAACAGATGAGAAGGAAGAAGACATCCATTATGGAGAGATCGACTTCTCCAAGAGGAGACCTGAACCGTCCTCTGACTCAGTGCAGGACAGTGGACAGCAGCAGGAAACACTGTATGCACAGGTCAAAGTGTCAAAGCCAGCAAACAGATTGACACAGACTGCCGATGGTCCAGAGAATCTCTATGCTCAAGTTAAGAAAACATGAGAACCGTTTTTAAAAGACAAAATAACATTTGTGTAGAATTAATATTTAATGTGCCTTAATGTTTTATGTACACAAGATGTTTGATTTCAGTTGATGTAGACACTGGAGCCTGGATTGTCAGATATCTGCAAATAAAAGTCCCAAAACTCTAAAAAGCTCTAAATAGTCTAAAATTAATAAATGCAAATAAATGCGGGGAATATGACACCAGAAGCAGTTCTGCACACGCATTAGCGGTCTTGTAGTAAGATTATATTTAATTTTGAAATGTTTTTTATTTTGTCTTGTAACAGTGCCTTTAACAGGCCTTTAAAAAACATTGTTCTTGTTTTGATATTTATTGTGTATCCCATACATTCATTGGTATTTGCCAAAATTAAGGTTGTTCTTTTAACATTGTTCTTCATTTGAAGACATGTATTTGTTGCACGGCAAAGAAAACCCTTTTATCTAAAATACATAATTATCTTGGCAAAGCCGGAAAGTGACAAAGTACAAAGACTTCATTATTGTACTTAAGTAGTTTTTTGAAGTATCTGTACTTTTTCTGAAGCCTTTTTACATTTACTCCCTACATTTTCTTTCTATGAATATCTATACTTTAAACTCCTTACATTTTTAAAACAGGCTTGTTCCTTTATCTTTAATGCATTTGAGGAGAATTGTTGATTTTATAAAATTGGGGCATTTGCTATATACTGTATGCCCTTGTAAAATACTGAGTAGCAATTAAATGTCTACATCCCTGGTTCACTAGTGGTACTCTAGCTTCCTCTAGTGGTATGAGAGTCTCAAATATATGTTTTTATATTATTAGCCTACTATCAAAACACAGCAAAAGTTTGAATGAAAATACTTAAAACTCATATATCTCATAGTATTTTCAAAATGTTGTTGAAATGTAACTTAAAATAACCTAAAATGCATTTCCTGTAATATTTTGTTTTAATATCAGCCAGCATGTATTTATGCACGTAGGGAATGTATATGTCCATGATTAGTTATAAGCTAAAACATTGTGGCAAATGGAAGTTAAATTAATAACACAACCCCTCAGACATGAATTCATCACTAGTCACCACCACAACTAGCCAGAAACAGACATCTGACGTCAGTGTGGTCATCCTGGGCCTGTTGTTTGTATTTGGATGTTTGAGACAACCCTTAGTTCCCTTATTACTGCCATCTTGTGCCCGTATATCAAGAATTATATGAAATAAATGTTATGGTTTGTATTCATTTATCACAGTTTGACAAGAATGTTTTATTTTTTATTATCAAGAAATCACATGAAAAGACCAACATCAACAATGAATGTATTCTTCTGACATGTATTGTCTGTGTAGTCACATGATGAAAATCCTTATATTATTCTGTGTTTATGTCTTCATTGTGTTAAACCTGTTTCTTTTCGTTAATAAATTAATACTTGAACTGATTGGGTTTTAGTTGGGAATTTTATTGTATAATATATTTCAATCACTGCAACACATCTGAATGGGGAAGTTGTTAAACAGTAAAGGTCAGCATGAAATGGAATGTGTTCTTTGACAGGTTAACAGTAAACTGTCCAAAGGTCATGATAAATGACTCATGAATGGCACTTTTTATCTCAACATCACTTCATGAAGGACTGAATTTTGAATTAAAATTGAATACTTTAAATAGTTTTAGCAGCTGGTGATTGAAATCACAAGAAATCAGATTTGAAGAACTACAAAGAAATGAATGTTTTCAATATTTTTGGAGGATCCTGTGTTTTTTAAACATTTTACATGTACACCTGCAGAATATGCGAGGTTAGGTAATTCCATAGAACACATTTTTTATCATTAGTCTGGATTTACTTTGCATTATACACCCCAAAACACATTCAGTGAATGTCACCTGATGCCTTCTGACAGACCTTGCTTGTCTGTCAAACAACCTGACAGAGCTTGTTGAGTCCCGTGTGGAGGAGTTTAAAGCTATTACAGGAAGTAAATCCTCCAAAGAGTGTTTGTAAAGAAAAGACTGCGGCGTATTTGACTGGCCTTGCATGTCATTTGGTTGAGTTCATGTTATATGTATATGGAAAAGACTGTTAGAACATGTAACTCCTTGTATCACCAAATCTCTGACAACCTTTGCACGTTGCTGCCACTGACAGAAACGTATAACTTAGAAAATAACAGCTGACTGTACTGAACATTGAATTCTGTGAGAACTGAAGACGTCAGCACCAGCTAAAATGGAAATATGCTCCATTTGCAAACCTTTTGCTGCAATAGTTGCTCTGCCTTTAACCCAATTGTTTTTACCATGTAAATTCGTAGTATACAGTTTAATTAGCAGCAAGTTTTTTGGGAAAATAAAAAGACATCATCTTTGAGAACACGAGTCCTTAGAAAAGCAGGCAGATTTGCGCTCATCAGTAATGGATGCCAGCCTCTCATCAAGGGAGGGACTCTGGTGTTCCTTTGCCCCCGCCAGTAGCACAAACACTGTGTAAGGCAATGCACTTTTTTCATGTTGGAACACTTATTTATTTGAGCAATGGTCTGACTTTTTGAGGCAGCAGCATTCACAACATCCGCCACATGCTGCCTTTTTAACATTAGAAATGCCCATCAAATAAAGCGTTCTTGTCTCGACCTCCCAAACAAGAACTTCTACTTATATTATTTATTACAAGTGTTTCACTTACTATTTATGGTCATATAGGGCATTATATGATGTTTGCAAAGATGTGCAAATATTTGAGTTGATTTTTATTTATAAAGAAGATGCAGCCGCCTTGTCTGTGTGGTCTCCCTTCTTTGTCATGAACTGTGAGCAGGTTCATGACAAGCTCAACCACTAGAGAGATGTGGCTCAAGAAGAGCTGATGTAGAACCAGGAACAGGGGTTGACTGGACCAAGAACGGGAAACTTCTTCCACAAAGCTGGGACAGTGTGAGTGTCCAAAGACTGTTGGAACATGCTGTTGTTAGTTCCTCTGCACAGCGTTTAAGCAAAAAAGCTGGCAGTCCATCTGGGCCAGTGCACACCTTACTAAAAAGGGACTGTACACTGGGCGGGTCCATTTCCAGCCAGCGAGTGGTATCAGTATCTATATGAGGGAATTAAGTGTATGTTATTGCGGTCTGAGTTAGAAAGAGGGGGCTTTGAGTTTGCCGAATACCAGTCTTTATGTTGCCAAAGCATAAAACATAAACAGCAGCTATGACGATATTGCCAAACTCCATTGGCAAGTAGTGGGGTCTCAGAGATACACAGAACAGTTCTACGTCTGAATTACATATAATGTCTCTCACTGTATAGTGTTTGCACCATGTGCTCACATAGACGCACATGCCCCCTCCGTTCCTCTTGCCAGTCGCATAGGGGGAGCGTTCGGCTCCCACAAGCAAGTCACTATCCAGGATGTCTGGGACTTGTTGTTGAAGATAGGTCTCAGTAAAGACCATGAGATTTGATTCCCCATACACTCAAAGCAGCTCCTTTGATTGATGCAGAGTTCATCCATCTTGGGCATCAGTGACCGCACATTGCTCAGAATTACTGATGGTAGTAGTGGTTTACTGGTTCACAAGCAAAAACGCTCTCGGATGCTTCCCCATCTCACTCACTCTCGCTGCGGCCATGTGCTTGCTTGTGTTGTTCAGATGATCGGGTGGTGTGGATTGAAATGATTGGAGAAAACTTTTAACTTTAAACTTTTATTTTGTTGCTTTTCATGAACTCCACTGAAAAAGACATGATATATTTTATTTGTTGGGTTTTGTTTTAGCAGAAATGATCCTCAAAGAAATGAGAAGTTTCTGCAGCAACATTTTATTTGAACTATAATATCATAAAGTCAGACTGGATCATTCTGATTTTATAGTGAAACTGTTTTCAGAGCAACTCTGCAGATATTATTCATCACTACTTATAACACAGTAACATCTGGTTGGACATGGCAAGTTCCTGGTTTGAATGTGTGAATCTGAGGTTGCTTTAAAACAACATGAAGGATTTGTTTAAAAGATGCTTTGATTCAAATATTGAAAAGTAACTTTTTTTCAGATCCAGGTGATGAGTGTGATTGCAGTCCTGTCTGTGAATATGGTGACAGCCAACATGTTACTGAGTGTCTTCTTTCTTTCAGGTGAGCTGTTTGTTCAGTCACTTTTATTTGGAGACGTTAATCATTTACAGTTTGGACTTCATTTAGAAACAAAGCAGAAAGACCAGTGCAGATAGAGTTACTTTTTCCAACTGTTCATGTCCTGACTGCAAAGTGAAATTTTTATATAGAAATTGTTGTTTTTGGACGGTAAAAACAGCAGGGGACCGAAACGGCCCAAGATCGGATTTTTTTTGCCTGAGAAATTGGATGTGTTGCGTGAGTGCGTGTGAAAACAGGCAAAACCGTGTGTCACACGGCGAAAGCGTGAGAGTGGGCAGCTCTGAGGACAGGGAGAAAAACCAGCATGCAACACACTGCTGATTTGTTTATCATGAACTTTCTCTTCATCCAGATCTTTTCCACATTTTGTTCATCATGAATCTGATTTTACAGGTGCTTTGGCTGATTGTCCTCAGATGTCAAAGCTCTTCATTACTGCACCAAAGAAGATGGAAGCACTGAGTGGATCTTGTTTGCAAATCTCATGTAACTTTAGGCATGAACCAGAACAAGATTTTGACAGCACAAGAGAAACCTTTGGAGTTTGGACAAAAAATAATCCCTATTTTGCCAATAATCCAAACAATTTGATTTTCAACAGCAGTAAGTCAGTTAACACGTATCCAATGAATATTACTGGAAACCTGAGTCAGAAAAACTGCACCACTCTGTTTTCCAGTTTAGTCACAAGTTATACAGACACATACTACTTCAGAATTGAGGCTAAACCATTCAGAGCAACAGCTGCTTGTGATCCTCTTCAAATAACAGTTAAAGGTAAGAGAGCTTTGTTTCTTTCAGTCAGTCTATAATGTTATTGTTTAGAATAAAAAGTGAAATCAGTTACAGTTTTGGCCTAGCACACACTATCTTATTTGGAGGTTTTTCACTTTACCACGGATTTAAATTCTGATTAAACACTGAGTCTATTGTTACAGTTTGACATTAAAATGGTCGAATTCTGAGACACTGAAAAGCAGAACAAAATGTTATTTATAGTGCAGTGCACATGCACTTTTGGTACAGAAGAGTTAGCATTTCAAAAGAGATACAGATACAGATTCTCCTCCAAGCCCCAGAATTGAGATCTCAGGTGATCTGAAAATCCAGGAGAGCATCACTGTGTCAGACCAACATGATGGATACAACATCACCTGTTCTGTCAGATATCCTGTGAACGAAGGAAAAGACAACAAGACAGCAGAGGAGAGAAAGACTCTCAGTGTTTCATGTGAGACAACCAGAGTTTGTTATTGGGTCCTGTCAGCATATGATGATTCATGGGATATCAGCTGATTTTTAATGAATAAAGTTAATCTCACATTTTCCTCAGATGCTCCTAAAAACACCTCAGTGTCCATCAGTCCATCAGGTTTGGTGTCAGCAGGTAGCTGGGTGAACCTGACCTGCTCCAGCAGAGCCAAGCCTCCCGTCAGCCGCTTCACCTGGTTCAAGAACAGCAAAGATGGACCCATGATTGTATCTGAAGGACAGTTTTACAGTTTCAATGTGACAGATGGAGGAGATTATTATTGTGTGGCTATTGTGTGATTCGTCTTATTGATGTAGGTAAATACTGAACTTGACTGAATAAATTTACTTTGATCTTTGAAAAGAAACTTATGCAGTACAGTTTTGTTACATGTCTTCTTGTAGTAGTCTCTCATATTTGGTTTGTTTCTCCAACATGACTCTCACAACCAAATGGAGGAAGAGCAATACCATTTCAGAAGGTGACCATGCTGTTGTGTTACAGGTGATCAACAGTTTGAACTGCTTGGCGTCCATGTTATACTGAAGATCGTGGGAATCATAATGCTCATCAGTGTGTTGGTCATCTTTGAGTGGTGAGACAAACCTTTCCATATAATTATTTGCAGATTGGGTTTATTTTTAAAATTTGGTTTGACTGTATGAGATCAGTATCATTACAGCATGAACTCAAACACTTAATTCTATCATCTTTCTCTTCCAGCTGGTTTCGATTAAGACACTCCACCAAACCAATGAAGGTAAGCTGCTAAGGAGAGGTATATCAATATAAATATGATGTTCAGCATTCATAAAGGAATAATCCTTGAAAAGCGATAATGCTGAAAGGACAGTTTCCACCTACTGCAGCGTCACCACACCACAATGCAGTGCAGCACTTTACGGCCGGAACACACTGCCTGTGTGCGTCATGGAAAATGTTGCTTTTTATTTTGGTCAAAAGGTTAAAGCAACCAAACAGCCTGTGTGAGCAACGCCTATTTCTCCCACATGTGGTTCTCAGCAAAAATAGATTGTGAAAGTGATCTGTTTCTCATCATATTGACAATATAGCAGCAACATTACACCTTTCACTGCTGGTTCGATGTACATCCATAGATATGTCACAGACACAGCTGTTTGAATTAGACCCAGCGAGAGAAGTTAGCAATTATGCATTACATAGCCCACCTTTGATGTCTCTTGGGATCAGGATCCAATTTATTCATTCACAAAGACACAGATTTCTGATTATGAAACATCAGAAAAAGATACCTGTAGATAGATAGAAACTATATTCCACAGTTAATGTAATGCATTTATGCAGCTCTTTTCTAGTCTATTGACCACTCAAAGCACTTTACCACACATGCCAACATTCACCTAAACAAATTAATACGCTGACAGTGGAGGCTGCAATGCAGGGTACCAATCTGCTCATCGGGAGCAGTTCCTTACTAACACCACTCTCTCTTGTTTCACCTCCACAGGATGCAGTAGTGGCACACTATGCCAACACAGTGACTGAGTTGTCAGTACAGTCACACTATGCCAACACAGTGACTGAGTTGTCAACATGAGTCACAAGGAGAGGAGGAAGATGTGGTGTATAACAGGAACGACATGCTGTATCTTCTCTTCTGTATTCATCTCTCAGTCTGAAGTTTCTTCTTGTTAGTTTTCTCCAGGCCTGTAAATACTAAATGTTACTACTTGTTTTAAACATGACCCCAGACTTGTGTGAATATTACTTTTATGTGATGTTTCTTCTTCTGTTTCTTTGTTAAAGTGAGTATAACTCAAAAGCAAAAACATGTTTAATTATTTTTTCTTATGTTGAACTGATTTACAGAGGTGTATAGTAACGAAGTAGATGTACTTTGTGACACTACTGAAGTAGTTTTTTTGAGGATCTGTACTTTACTTGAGTTTTTTTTTTTAATCAAGACTTTAACAATTAACGTTGATGAGGAAGACATAGAAGACGTTACCAAACTGACAGCATCTCCTTCGGTAGAAGACGACAGTCACCCACCGTGGTCATACCTGGCAACAATGTTTGGCTACCTTGGGATAGGTGAAAATCCTAAAACATAAAAAGTGATGTGCAACCAGTCTGCAGTGATGGTGCTGTGTGTAGTGAGAATGTATTTTTTAAGTTGTATTCTTAACCAGACACAAGGCACCTAATTTAGTTGGGTTCTCTGAGGCAGATAGAAGGCATTTTTTTGCGGTCTTAGGCAGACAGACGCTTTATTTATAGTTGTTCTCAGGCAGACACGAGACACTTGATTCACTCACTCTACATGTTTGCTCAGATGTTTTTTTGTTTTTGTTTTATCATACCACATCTATTTCATTCACCTGAAAGTGAAATAAAGAGAACAAGGGGAGAACCATTTTTGGTTGTTTTGCTTCTTTTTATGCGTACTATAAAAATACTTTGTACTTTACTTGTACTTGTTCTTTTGATACTTGAGTATATTTTTTTTACAAGATTTTTGATAATTAAGTACATTTAATGTGAGCTACTTTAAGACTTATACTCAAGTGATTTTTCTCATGGGTGACTTTAACTTTTACCAAAGTCATTTTCAGTTATGGTATTTGTAATTTTACTTAGTTATTTTTTTCAAGTACTTTATAAACCTCTGCTGTTTCTTTTGTTCTTAAGATATCAAACATATTCTTAGATTATGTGATTTATTATAATTAGATGTATGTGATGTGTGTTAAATAAAATAAAAATGCAGTTTTTCATGCAACATAAACTTTTTTTATCACTTATTCTAGTTATTTAATATATGTATAAAGGCTTGCAATGAGTTGTGTTATAAATGAAAATCCTATAGGATGAATTAGTCATTTGAAACCTAAAGATTTTAAGATTTCTAATATTTGACTTCTTTGCTCATAGGATAAAAGCAGTAGGGACTTGTCAGGGACCGAGCTGGCAGGCATGAGGAGTCAAGGGTAGATTTTCACAAAAAGTGATTTTATTCACAAAAAAAGGTGAAAATAATCAATTTACAAATTAAACAAAATGTTCTGGGCCCATAAAAGAGGTCAACTAAACAGAACTTAACTCAGGCTACATTAACTGTACGGACTGAACATACTAAACCAACCAACCAAACTGACCTAACTAAACTGAGACATTGGGAAAGTTAAATAGTGACTGATCAGGCCACTCTGACACACAGGGGGAACAGACTAAAACACAACATTTAAACAAACCATAATAACCTCAAATAATATCCAGATAATGCAGCCAAATATTAACTAAGGAAAATACTGAAATACTAAACATCAAAAAGCATAATAATCAGAAATAACTAAACTCAACAAGGAGAAATCACTGCCTCTCCCCATGATTCCGGCCAACATGGTGTAGCCCAATTATCGGCCCAACCCCTGTCTCTGATACAGCTGGCACTTCCTTAGTTAGCCATGAGACATCTTCAGCAGCAGCACCCAGGAACTGGTAACTCAAAGAAAACTGAATTAATGCAGTGAAAATCTGAATGAACCTAATAGTACTACCCAAAAGTGACAAAGGAAGTTAACTTATTGTGTGCACCCCAAAAAGATAACGGCTGTCAAAAATGGATAATAAAACTGTATTATGAATCCAAAATCTGTGTCCAGTTATTTATTGTGAATTGTGTCTAATGTTCTAAACCTAAAGATAAAACAAATGAAAGAGTTACCACCATGTGCTTTTGCTTTTGCCTCAGTGTGTGGCTGCTAGGGCGGCCATCACAGGACTAAAGTGCCTGTAGTTCTGCTGTAGTTCAGTCATGGGCACTAGAATAAATGCACAACAATACAGAAACATCCATGGTGGTAATACATTTGTATTCAGACAGATACTTTCCATATTGCAAAAGGTTACAGACTTTTATTTTTATATGATAGAATTTGATATGATATACAGATCTGGATGCAGATCCAGAAACTTGTATACCTTTGGATACGGATACAGGTCCTTTTTGTCCAGTAGGTGGGTGAAGTTACATCTAGCAGCTTTCAAACCATACAAAGTACATATTACAAACAAGTGGGATCAATAGGCAGGACACAGACCAGGGTAGTGTTAGTAAGTAGAGAGTATTTGTTTGTGAAGAGGATTTAGATGAGGGCTGATGCCTGGCATCCCTGGGAATGAAGATCTGGCAGCAGCAGGGGTAATGGTGGAAGTGGAGGAGTGTGGCTGGTGTGAGCGGGGGTGAATAAAGAGGTTGCAAGCAGGCAGACAGACAAGTAGGAAGACTGGCAGATGAGTTATAATCCACGATGGCTGAACAACAATCTGGTGAGGGGTAAATGAAGAGAATATACTGCAGGAAGATGGGCTGATGAGAAGCTGATATGTACACCGGGGAGGGTGAATGAGCTGATTGCAGGCAGTTTAAGACTGGCATGAGTTATACCACCTATTTCCATTCCCCTTTGTTTGCTGGTGTTTCTTTGTTTTCAAATATATTTCAAAATGTTGTAGTTAGAATTGTCTAAAGAATATCTGAGAGGATGAGGAAGTGTCAACGAGGAAAGCAGTTGAGCATCATTTGTATAATATGTGTACCTGTGTATATACATTGACTCATTATGTAATTTATTTAATGATGAAGGTATAATATCCTAAAAAAGCACATTAGGGGAAGACAATTTCTTTCTTAATACATAATAGTTTTAATTTATTTTCAGTAATTAGAGTAATGTGAATATTTGCAGTAAAGGAGAGAACTTCCTGTATTTGTCCAATATAAAAACCAACTGGACTGTGTGGTTTTTAAGCGTACAGGAGGAAGTCGACTTGATATCAAATCACAATGAAACAGGGAAGTTGGTTTGTTGAACTGGATTGTTGCCCTTCAGCTCAAATTCATAAATTGGAACCATTTTCACTTTAAAACCACCAACGAAAGGATCTGATTGTTGCTTGATGTGGGCTTCTTTGGTAAAACAGAATTACTTACTCATTTTATTCCTTATTTAACCCAGAGAGTTGTATTCATTCCCACTGTGCAGACTTTGGTTGTCACTTACAACACAGTAAATTGTGGTTGTACAGAGCGTATTGAATACTTTGTAAAAGTAACTGCACTGTTGTGTTTGTTAATCCAGGTGATGAGTGTGATTGCCGTCCTGTCTGTGAACATGGTGACAGCCAACATGTTACTGAGTGTCTTCTTTCTTTCAGGTGAGCCGATGTTCAGTCATTTATTGTTTATCTTTTACAAAGCACAATGTTCTTTACCCTAAATGAATGTGAGTTCTCGTGTCACTGTTACAATACTGATGTATTATCTGGAGATCTTTTGGTGGGTATAAAGGGATCGGCCCCCATTGGGGTCGGGTTCATCAAGGTGGATTAAGGGGAGGTTGTTATCTGCTTGCTGTAAACCAATAAGAATGAATCATTGAAAAACAGTACAGTCAAACAAGATTACAATGCAAAATAGTACTTTTAATTTATCTTTTGGCCTTTTCTCCGTTTTACCACATTTTGTTCATCCCAAGTCTGATTTTACAGGTGCATTGGCTGCTTGTCCTCCACACACAAACCTCTTCATTACTAGACCAAAGAAGATGGAAGCATTGAGTGGCTCTTGTTTGCAAATCCCATGTAACTTTAGTGCTAAATCAGAACAAGAGTTTAACAGGAGCAGAGAAACCTTTGGAGTGTGGATTAAAAGTGACCCCAGATTTGGCCTCTATCCAAACAATGTCATTTTCAACAGTAGTAAGACAGTTAACACGTATCCAATGAATATTACTGGAAACCTGAGTCAGAGAAACTGCACCACTCTGTTTTCCAGTTTAGTCACAAATTATACAGACACATACTACTTCAGAATCATGAACTGGCCATTCAGAGCAACAGCTGATTGTGATCCTCTTCAAATAACAGTTAAAGGTAAGAGAGTTTTGTTTCTTTCAGTCAGTCTATAATGTTATTGTTTAGAATAAAACAAAAAATAGGCATGTAGCAACCGATAATGTAATACCTGCCAATAACGTAATAATTCTGGCCATTTTAAATGTAATAAAGCCAATAACGTAATAACTTGCCAATAAGGTAATAACATTTTGCCAATAATGTAAGTTATTACGTTATTGGCACAGCATTAATATGTGATAATACATAAATAGGACTGCATTTCTTGGAAATAAAATATTTTTTGTAGTTTTTGTGCAGTTTGCTCATCAAAAATAGATATAGTGGATGGCATAGTCGTCATATTCATTCATCAAGGGTATGTATTATGCAGCACTCTCTCTCCTTGCAACCCAGTCTCATATAAAAACGTACCCTGGCTACGTTGGTCCAAAGTGCAAAAACGTAGAGGGTTACAATAATGGCCCTTAAATTGTATGACTGTTACATTTTTTCTGCCTATTCTTTTCATATTGTTTTGCGTCCAAGTCACATGACTTTCAAGATCCCGGCCGTGAGAACAAAAAACATGGCGGACATTTCTCTCATTTTAGTGAAAAAAATCAATATTTTGAGTTAGTTTCTGCATAAAAATGCATTTTGATTACATTTCTAGCGAGAAATATATATTTTATTTTCATAATATTCACTCAGTGAATGTACATAGTCACTCACTTGCTTGTTGAAGATTTTTCAGATCTCGCCAGAATAATGTGAAACTGAAACGTTTTGGTTGCTATGGACGCTATCGCCTAGCATAGCTGTGGCCCCAGATTCCACATAGTGGAAAATTAAATATCTCTTGTCTAAAAGATATTTGTGTTTTATAACGCAGTACTACAGTAGATTGACATCAAATATGTCGCTTTTAATAATCACCCCTTCAGTTATGAAGTTATTTTTGATAGCGGAAGTAGCAACATTGGCCGTTAATATGGAGATGAGGACCGTCCGCTTTGTGTCACACAAGCAGAGCAGTTGGCGCGCTGGTCTCCTGTTTTAGTTAAAATATCTTCATTAAACAAACATTGTTGTCTTTTCTTAGCATAGATCATATACATGCATTATAATTATTTATTAGACAGTGTGTGATATTTGATATATTGGGTAGATATACGTTTTCACAACCATAAAACGGAGGAACTACAACTGGGGTGTTGATGTCAACACAAGTACTGAAGAGGGTTCTAGGGAGTTGTAGTTTTTTTTTTAAATTCAGGGTTTTACCTAAAATTGGAAGTTGTAAATACTTAATTGGTTTTTGGCATCATACTTTAAATATTGTCTTGTTCAATGGGGTATTTTTTATTTTTACTACATATCCTACAGTGCATATTATGAAAATAAAATATATATTTCTCGCTAGAAATGTAATCAAAATGCATTTTTATGCAGAAACTAACTCAAAATATTGATTTTTTTCACTAAAAATGAGAGAAATGTCCGCCATGTTTTTTGTTCTCACAGCCGGGATCTTGAAAGTCATGTGACTTGGACGCAAAACAATATGAAAAGAATAGGCAGAAAAAATGTAACAGTCATACAATTTAAGGGCCATTATTGTAACACCTCTACGTTTTTGCACTTTGGACCAACGTAGCCAGGGTACGTTTTTATAT